CACCACCACCACCACCACCACCACCACCAGTAGATGCAATGCTGACCTTGATAACTCTACCATCAAACCTAGAGCACCATGAAAGGGCTTAGCTTCGATTTCAAAGATTGCAAAACATTATCCACTGGTAGGAAAACTTACTCCTCATTATCAAGCGCTTCAACTGCAGCCTCTGCCTCTTCTGGGCTGGAATATCTAACGAATGCAAACCCCCTGCTTCGGCCGGTTTCTCGGTCTCTAACCACCATCTACAGGGCATTAGTAACGAGCATCGGAGGTATAAAAACAAACCAGCCCAACATACACATTCTTCAATAGTACCGTATTCCTCGAACCTTTGCCTCAAGACGTGGTCGGATGTGTGCCAAGGAAGGCCGCTGTTATTCGGAGTTTGGGTTAGTTGAAGGCCGCTGGTCGAATATCTCGTTATGCGAAGAGAACTCACCCAACAAAAACTTTGGTAGACATGGTGAACAGGGACTATTAATCTGGCGTATATACTTGAATACAAGGGAAGTGAGTAGAAGGATTATCCAAGTTGTGAATCCAAATGATAGATGTTAAGGTGGGGAGGTATTTATCTATGGAGGGGCATCCTGCAGCTGCAGATCAAAGTTCAAAGTTCAGCTCAGCCGGCCCATAAACCATTCGTATATCAGTAGATCAACGCATAACATACTGTATTTGGCTACTGACGCGTTCGTTGCAAATCGTACTACGTATATTATTGGTCGAGGATTGCATTGTCTTGATCCACTTGGTACCACTCATTATCCGCCTTGACTGCAGTTCAGCTGGGCTACGCTAATAGCCGAGCTGAGGGCGGCTTTTAGGTCCGAAAGCCAGCTATGAGGGTATTGATACTGGGCACTACTGATTGTACGGGATTGGCATGTAGCTCTCAATCCGTGACACCCCATGCATTCTGTCATCTGTGCTTGCGCTCTTGGAATACAAATGACATTCCTTCAGCGGCGGTTGTTTTTTCAAAAGCACACCCTATGGACAATACCAGGACCGGATTCATCATATGCCTCCTTAGTTACCCAATGACTTTGGAATGTGGCTTTGACGCCAACATCGAACCTCCAATCCAGGCCGAGTACTCTCGCTCCGGGGGAGCGACAACGTTCACCTTCATAGTTGGCGGGCTGAGAGCGGCCAGGTCTTGGTGTAGTCGGTCCACTATACCAGGCAGCATTGAAGTGCCTCCAGACTAGAAGAGAAAAGAGGGAAAAGGCCAGTCAGTAAACCAAAGAACTCTTTTATCATAGCAGATGTTCCTGTTTCTTAAAAGACAAAGAGAGGAAGAAAAAAAAAAAAAAGGTATACATACCAGAACCACATTGCCATATAGCTCCCTCCGAATGTCAAGGTCGCACTTGAAGATAGAATTATACGCCTGCTCATGAATGCCAGGGGTGTTAAGACCAATCATGAACGGCCGGAAGAGGACTTCAGGGGCCCGGAATATCTCCGCTCCCATTTCTATCATTTGCCCATCAGGCAGCTCGTAGCTATGCTGAGCATTCCGCTGAGACTCCTGTTCGAAATCAAGTGCAACGGAGCAGTGCTTCTCTTTCATGTCCGCGAATATATCAGGACTGAGGGCATTTCCGCCCAATCGGTCCATGAGATATTTCGTTATCTCATCTCCGCCTACATCCATCCGAGAAATGGCATGGTACAATGCAGATCCCTCATAGACCGGGACACAGTCAGTGGAGCCATGGCCACAATCAACAGACAGACCAGTCGTACGACCGGATGCGTACAGAGCTAAGACAGCGTCAATCCCCAGATAAAATGCTGGGACTTTAAAAGTTTCAAACATAATCTGCGTGGTTTTCTCTCGGTTCTCCTTGGGGTTAAGCGAGCGCTCGGTCAAGAGAACCGGGTGCTCTTCCGGAGCAACTTGAAGCCCAGTGGCGAAGGTGTGGCTCCAGATCGTCTCCATATCATCCCAGTTGGTGATCAATCCACGCTTGATCGGGCCGGCACTATCGCCAACGTATGCGTTGTTCTCGAATCTGGAGCATGGAATATATCTCAGTCCATCGCATACCATGATGACAGATGGGGAAACAGCGGGATTTATTTACCCTCCATCATAGCCCACAATTGTCGCTATCCATTAGACTTAGCATTGGATTAAGCAAAAGCTTCAAACAAACTCACGGGAAACCGTGCGCGGGCCGTTATCACCAGCAAACCCGGCCTTGGTATACATTGTCCTACAGATTAGATCAGCTTGCGAGTTTAGTTCAATGTTGTCAAAGTAAAGGAGAATCTCGAATGCCAACTTTTAGAGAGAGAGAGAGAGAGAGAGAGGAAGTAGGGTAGAATACCCATTATCGATGACAATAGCAGCACCATCTTGAGAATCTGCAATTTGATCGCAGAATTAGCATAGCTGTTCTAAGACACCGAGGGGATAGGTAAGCTTTGTCTGCTTGAGAGCGTTATAGTGCAGAATCTATCGACCAAAAGACATAATAAATGGTATCTCCGAAAGCATACCCGTCATGTTTATAGAGGTAGGAGAACGCAAAATTCCCGGATTTTGAGACTGTATTGAAGCAGACACAGATTAGGGTCTCAAAAACCTTACGAGTAGCCTAGAGGGATCACTCCCATTTATAGTAAGTCAGTCCATATAGAGCTAAATGGTAGATTATGGGTAGCCCACCTTACTGGAGACATTAGGTTTAGCTTTCAGCTGGCCACGCTAATAGCCGAGCTGACCTTGGCTGACAATCGAAGAACCTTGATCGAAGATCCAAAGATCCAAGCGGGACGCTAATAGAGATTCTAGATAGGCTGATCATAATCGATTGGTTCGTGATACACCATGGGTTCCATAGGATTGACGTGGCCAGAAAGTCACTTTCTCTAGCGCTGAAGCGATTCAAAGCAAGACAAGCACCACGATCCACCAGAAAGGCGAATGGAAGAACGTGGCTATAAAGAGCCCAACCCCCTCGATCTATCACCCAAGCCCAAACGAGTCCTGTTGTCCCTTTATCCTAGCATCCTACACAGGTATACACTCAAGATGAGCTGGCAAGGTACTGGGCTATATCATTTTGGCTATATGATACAATTCCTAATGTCTTTTTCTCTTCAGCGTATGTCGACGTCTCTCTTGTACAGAGTGGTCAAGTCGACAAAGCCGCTATATTTTCAAGCGCAGGTGACAGTGCATGGGCAACGAGCCCCGGTTTCAGAGTACGTACTTCCTGTCAAGCGATGGCTTCAATGACTAATGTGGGGGGAAACGAATCCAAAGGCTCAGCCCGAGGAGGTGGAGAGCCTTATAACGGGGTTTAGCGATGCGAGTTCTCTACATTCTCATGGGGTTTATCTCGATGGGCAGAAGTATCAGGTGATCAGGGCAAACAAAAGAACGATTTATGGCAGCAGGGTAGGTTCCCACGGTCTATATGATTAAGATAATCCATTGAAAAGATATCGGTCTAGGAGGCGGAGGGCGTGTATGTGGTCAAGACGAAGCAGGCTCTTATAGTGGCGCATATCCCCCGGGGGGGCGCCTTGTTATACAACCAACTGGTCGACCAAGTCTTGGTGAGAGAGGGTTCCTGCGCAAGGCCTGCGTCTGAGAGCGCGGCAACTGGTATTAAATGGTGGGTAAGCGATCTAACCTGCATGAATGGATGGGGACAGACACCCAGAGTAGATAGTATAACCACTGACTAGTGACCACAAGGGCCAAAGTGTAACAGGATCGCCATATCTGCGTGTGCATGATTAGGCCACTGGGGAACAAACATGCAGCCCTACTAATGGCAGACGTTACTTATCCAACGAAGATCGCTCGGCAAGTCTATCGACGGAATACTGGAGCAGAAAAATGAAAAACAAAAATAAATGCTTCCGATGCGGGGAATCGAACCCCGAGCTGCTGTGTGAGAGACAGCGATGTTAGCCATTACACCACATCGGATGTTGTTGAGGAAATTCATTTTATTTAGCTATATAATTCAAAACATGTCTTCCATTCCTTATCTTCCAACTAAACAAGTTTTTTGATATACTCTACCACCTGCTATGATAGAGACTAGAAGTACTACATGCTTCCAGATACATACGCTCAGTTGTAACCTTTCTAACTGGTACAAAGTGTCTTCTTCGCAGCTTGAGCCGTGAACCAACCAACACTCTCTACTATACCAGTGGCTTGCATCGTTATATATATATTAACTCTGTTGGGTGCTCATATTCACAACACACCACACCAAAGACTGTATGCGGACCGTAGTAACCGACTGGAGTATAGTTACTAGAGAGAAGCAACTCTTGATCGATTGTTCGGGAGAGAAATAAGCGCATGAAAATCATTAAACAAATTCCTAGGAGCTATAAAACCGAAGATGCCTCTTTGAACATGCCAACATCTACACTCGTGCAAGAATCCATTCCGCAATATCATCAGCAAACTCTTGCCTATTCTCCGGCAGGTCCGCATGAAGCACATGGCTCCAGCCTTCATAAGACTTGAACTTCCGGTCCGCGACCTTGCCGGTCTGTGCATCAAACCAGTGCTTACTCGCATCGTGGCTGGTGACCTGGTCCCCGGTGCCATGGGCCACATAGACAGACCGAACCCCATCATTCAGCTGGAGTTTGCCAGAAGTCAAGTCAGCAGCACGGTCGAGCATGTTTGCAAACATCTCCAGCGTGCCAACACAAGGGTTTAGCGGGTCATCCTTCAGTAATTGCTGCACAGCCGGGTCCCGCACGATCGTTTCGACCTTCATCGGTTGGGTAATCTGGAAGCGCGGCAATAGTTTACCGGCCAACCGACCGAGAGTGACAGTGATGACGCTCGGTTTCTGCTCCGCATCGAGACCGATAAACGGTGCTTCGAGCATGATCCCCCCCAGGCGGGAAACAAGACCCTGATACTTGGGCGTTGAGGCTAACGTCGCGACTAGTCCACCGCCCATTGAGTGACCCATCACGAACACGGGAACAGACGGTGTCGCTTCGAGTTGGACCTCGATGAATGCTGCAAGATCGGCCAGGATGGCAGCGGTCGGGCCCGTGTTCCCGCGGTCGGCCTTGGTTTTGGCCGTCCGGCCCCAACCGCGCTGGTCGATTCCTGTGCAGAAGATCCCACGGCGGGCTAGAGATGGAAACAGATCAAACGTGTTGTTGATATGGTCGCTAAAACCATGGAAATGGACCAGGCGGGCTACAGGGGCAGCGCTACTCGGCTATACATGGGGATTAGTACTGTGCCAAGAATACCGTCAACGGAGACTCTGAACTTACTGCCCATGTCTTCTGGTAGACGGACAATCCGTCGGGGAGTTGGAACTGGGTCTCGGTGATGTCGATGTCGGCCATGGAGAAGGATATTGCACGGAGGTGTAAGGTGGAAGTTGGATTGAAGATGAATGGTTTTATGGGTTTCCCAATCCGAATCCCTCGCGATCGGCGCGTGATGGATTAGTGATCCTCTCTTGGCTTTCACCTGTCAGATTATTCGACGCTTCTCCAGCATCTGATATTTATGTATCCATCCCAGAAGCTGGTTAGCCCAACAATCCAAAACATTGATCACCTTTTCAATACGAACCAGCTAGCAAAACGACTTGATTATACCAAGGTAGAAACGGCGTAACTACAATTGGCACCTTTTGTAAAGCCTACGAAGGCGTCAAGCCACCTGGATAAAGTTGCTTTTATCAACTATCTCGCTGAGCTGCTTCTAGCTTATTCCACCGATGGCGCTATGATCGTGATCGATAGGGTTAAAGCTGGGCTGCAGTGCCAGGAGCCGAACAGACTACTTGATCGTTTGCCGGACCAGCATTCATATAGGGCTCCCGGAGACGAGACCCTAATAGCGGAAATGTAGAGGACCATCACCCCAGAAACACCATCTGACCTTGGCCTCAGTCCAACAGTATTGAATTCCTTTACATAAAACATATAATACAAAAGTGGGGTATTTCAGTTCCATATATGCACGACAATCGACATATACATATCAACGCCAACCAAGCCCTAAAGTCATCCTATGGCATACCATCCCTGACCAACTTCAATAAAAGTAATCCGACAGATCCTCAACAGAATACGATCTCAAGCCTTGTCCTCGCTCCTCTCCCTCTCCTTCTCCTTCTTCAATTCCATCCCAAACTTCTCTCCCAGCACATTTCCCACCCAAGCTTCAACCTCATCTTCCAGCTCCTTATCCACCTTCGTCACATCTCCACCATCACTATAAAACCCCCTCCTCACAAACCTCCTCATATCATCAACCCCATTGATATCCAGCGCACACAGGATTCCCCCAGTGCCCGCCATGCCCAGGGAAAGCACATTCAGCGTCGCCAGATTCAGCGCCTCAAAGGCTTCCGCACCACCGCTGACGTCGGGCTTGTGGTAGAGGGAGGATGTATAGAAAGGTGGGACGGAAGCGAGATAGCGTCTGTTTAAGGAGCGGCGGGTGGTCCAGAGCGAGAAGGCGAAGAACGTAAGGCCGCCCAGGAGAAGTTTGTATTTGGTTTGGGGGTTGATGAATTTCAATTCGGGCTCGGATTCAGGTCTTTGGTTTTGGGATTGTGGTTGGGATTGGCTAATTTGTGTTGTTGTTGTGGGCTGTGAGGTTGCTTGGTCTGATGGGGTTTCGGGGGTTTGGGGAGGACCCCGGCGGAAGAAGGAGAACATGTTGTTGTAGTAAAATGGTAATCAGAAGGAGGTTCTTTGCGTTGGTGACAGTAGAGATGCCGATTGGTAGGGGTTGTGGTCTTGGTGTGCTTGGGTTCAGGAGCTCTGCGAGGGGAAAATGAGGCGGATGGATCGGAGATCTGAAGCTAAGATGCGGAGTTCGTGATATTGCATGGGTCATGTGACTTATGCCTTAGGCAGGAAAATTGTTGCTGCTGGAACCGTCTGGAAACACTTTGTGAGTCATCCGGTGCGATATCTCTCGTGGACAATCCCGAGCTGTGTTTCATTATCGTGATATGTGCATTGTAATCTGGTGGCTATAATACAAAACCGTAGCATGCCCCAAATGCGGTAGGTCAAGGCGCCCGGCGGTCACCTCATGTAATCATATCTATAAGAAAAAGCGACAAATGATGTGCTGGGCATAGCCCTCCAATATATACCAGTGCCAAACGCTGAAGCCGATGGAAAAATCATCCCAGCGTATCATATAACCCGGGATTCGAATGTGTAGATTCGCCAGATTCTATGCATCTGGCTCTTAACCCAAGTCTGCTGCTCCTCAGGCAAGCACAGGTCAGGCGAGCAGAGATACTCAAGTTCGGACCGAATTAACCACCCGCCAAGAAGGGGAGCCGTCTGTTGATGGGCCGAAGTCACCCGGCGCTCCTCAGCCTCGGGATACTCAACCTTGGAGGGGTCCAGATGAACTGACATTGTCTGGCTGCCTAGGAAGAAGGGGACTGCAGCGCAAATATCGGTGGCCATTTCTCTAATAGTAGATATCACTGCTTCAACCCTGTCAGGAGTGCCAAGGTTCGGGAGCAGACGGAGACAGTTGAGGATGATGCTTTGGACAACAATCCGAGATTCTCGATAGGTATTCCATGTGCTCCCTATCCACATCTCTGTATAACAATCACACCTGTTTTTGAACATACCTGCCTCTCGGACCGATTGGGGTACCATGGTTGCCGGAACTGGGGCCCAATGTTGGGGAAGAGCCCATGTCCAGGCATAAAGTTTATTGTCGAGAATCATGGCCATGGAATATATGCGACTGATTTCATCTGCGCCGTACAGTTCCGGTTGTGATGCGAACTTATCCCACACCTGTCTAAGATCTACTAACTCAGTTGCGGCCGCTGTCAGCTGTGATGATGCAGACTGGGGTATTGGGGCTGCCATAGGCCACACGTCTGGTATTTCGATGGTCGGATAAGCCGGTATCGTCGAGGCTTTAATCTAGAACAAGCTATCAGCAACAGGGCCTGTGGATTTTCGGAGTTCCGAACAGACAATTTGACATTGTATTGAGTTTGTTACTATTTGCGAATTAGTGTCCTCACTTTGTGGCATGTAGCCGCTGTTGACTAAAGCAATTGCCCCTTGCAGATGAGTTTTTGCTGCAATTCTGTGCTCTTTGACAGCAGAAAACTCCTAACACCATCATTAATCCTAAGCATCGGATAGGCATAGAATCTCCCCAGACTCACCTCATAGACAGAAAGCAAAAGAACTGCCATTATCGTCTCGACCACGTTTTCACCAAGGTTGCCCTGCAAGGCTACCCTTGTATTTGATAAAGCTCTCACGAAGAACTGCTCCGCCAAGTGGAGGAATGAACGATTCCCTGTCCAGGCAGAGACAGAGAACAATGACACAGCCAGTGTACCCAGATATAAAGGAGTTCCAGGCCGAGCATTGAAGTATCGATCGGGCAAAAGCTCCATAAACCCGATCCGAATGAGAGGGTCTCTTGGCTGATGAAGATAGGAATTGAAGAACAAAGAGGTAACTGTACTCTCCAAGGGTAGGTACAAACTACTGGGAAGACTAGGGCTTAGAGCTCTCACAGCGTTAACGGAGACGGGCGAATTTTCCACCTCTGGGGAGTTCAGGAATGATGTAGCGGATGCAGTGGAAGGCGACGTGGTCGTCTCCGACACCGTCAATGGAGAAGATGGCTCCTTCGAACCCTTTTTGCATATTGTGGTATTAACTGCCTTGGCCTTAGAAACATTACTTTTCTTGCGCTGGAAGGCCGTTCGATCTCTTAGCATCACATCGAGCGGGTGCGGATATCCGGGACAGGTCCGGCCGGTCCGGACACAGGCCTTACAGTGAGGACGAGCTTCGTCGCACTGCAGCCATTAGCACGATGCCAAATCCCAGATATGCACACACACTACATACCTTAATATGTCTAGATCGACAATTTTGACAGCCCGTGCTAGGTTTCCCACGGTAAACCATGATGACAGCACTATGTAATTTTGCTCATGTGTGGATATCAAAGCAGGCGATAAGGAGATTAGGCTTTAGTAATTATGGATTCGCTGCATTGATCCTGTAGTATGTACAACACGCCAATCCCTCAGCGAAGCCGTTCATCGAGACGCTAATCAACAAGGTGTTTTGACAATCGACACGAGCGATACTTGAATATAAAGTAAGCTGGAGCCTAGAACCATTGACAGAAGTAGAAGTAGTAGTCATATCGTCCAAGAAACGGGGCAAGAGTCTCGGCCCAAAGTGGCTTAGCTGATAGCTCACGTGGCAGATGAGTCAGGAATCCGTTATCTTATCGGCGAGATAATCAAATGACATCACTCTGTCTAAACATGTAAAAAGGAAACGACTATTATATCTGAGCTATGGACACACAGAATGTTCTTCTTTTTAGGGATCTCAAAACACAAATGGGAATCAACAAAAATCATCAGCATATCTCATTATCGATCATTACCTTCCTCCATCATGTCAAACGTAAACCGAAAATTCATATCACCCATATTGAATCATACAATCATAAAATCATTGAACCATACGCCATCTAAATGCTGTGCGAATCCTGGTTTCTTGGAGAACGCCAAGTCGAGTGCACCACGCAACCTGTGAACACAGTGGACATCTCTCCGGACCGTAGGGAGTTGCGAAGAGAAACAAGTCCCAAGAACGCCGGCTATCATTTCATCGACCCCGTTGTAATCAACATGTCTGCCCGACCCGGCCGATGAAAGCGATCAATGCCAAGATGTTCTTTGCCATCACGCCCTACATAGATTCCAAAGCCATACATAGGATAATCCCTGTCTCCAGGGGGTGCCATGACGAGTCGCGTAACAAGATCAGCTTTGCTCCGAGGCTCACGGAGTATCTTATCCGAGAGCAAAGGGCTCTGGTAGAGAAAGCTTATCTGATCGGCGAGCGTGGTAATATCATGAGGCAGGTAGCGGCGGCGACCGGGCCAGATACACAAGAACGACACTGTGTATAATGCGCAAAACGCAACCATGGCGTAGAATGCCGGCATCAGAGCGGCAATGCGTATTTCGCTTTGCGAAGGGTAGTTGAGAGCGATAAAGACACCACCAGCCAAGATAGGGATAGCAGCCGAGGCAATGCTCATGAAGGAGATCCAGGCTACCTTATAGTGTTTGTTGAGGATAGCCAGTACTGTCACATGGAAGGGGAGGCACGACGGATAAGACAACAGCAAGCTTTGATCGGCCGGTGCACCCTCCGGGGAAGAGAGCGAGACAAATGGCTGCAGGGCACGGAAATACACATCAATAGGCTGCCACGCGAGGAAAAGGACGTTCCCGATGAGTGCTGGGATGAAGCTGTACAAGAAGTTTGACGAGGAAAAGGACTTAGGCGACGGGAGTGTGGGAAGCCGTGGTGGGAAGCCCCCTTTAATAGCGTCATGGATAAAGCTGACCAGCACGAAAGCAATAAAAAGTGCACCGATAGTAACTGTCCATGCGACAATAAAAGTGTCTCGAAGAAACCATGGAGTCCACCGGTAACGAACAGATGGCGAGTATATGTGCTCATCGAAGCCATACTTCCCCTCTCCGATTTGCTGCTCTATATCGTAGGAAACCCTGGATAACCCGTATGGTTGCTTCTCGCGGCTCTTTTCGCTGAGGTGGAGAGACGGGTTTCCTAGCGGCGCTGCAACCTCACCGATACCATAGAACGTCGCATCCCGGTTGGATAATTGCCAATAACCCAGCCGAAGCATTCTAGGGTTGAGCGAATCGCCTACATCGGGCAATATTTCGGATTGCTCAAAATCCCGCAAGATATTGGACCGCTGAATGATCGAGACCAGATCAGCCAGGCTGATTGGATCCCACATTAGTCCCGACCAAGTGCGAACAAAGCGAAACATCAGTAAAACCAATCCAACGGTCAGCAGTCCGTACATCGCTACCAGTGTCCAGCCAACATCCTGCACAGCAGCCCAACGCCATGTCCCTTGCCCATCGACGATGAACCACTTTGCTTGGAAAAAGCAACTTAGCAGTGGCAACGCGATCAAATTCGAGAGCCATATTAAGACCAAAGAGAACCCAACCAACGGTTCTCCATGTCGAAACTGCGAAAAGTCTGGAACTAGAAAGTTCCGCGATAGAATCGGTAAGCGATGCAACACTTGACCTAGCTTCCTTTCCGAGGCCATGATCGCAAATGGCATTGTGCGATATACTGCTGCCTGGATAACGAAAGTCCAAACCGTGATAATGACAGCCAAAATTTGCGGGAGAAATTGAGCGACGAAGTACCGCCCACCCCCTTGGCCATCATAATCCCAGAAGCCCTGGTGTCTCTGAGACCACACATTGCAAAAGATAATACCAGCGATCATGAGCAAAGAGCAGAGGATGACCACAATCAGAGCCCACGGCCGTAACACAAACGGCACGTAGTTGAGGCGTGGATAGAGCAAGCTATCTTTGGGAGGCTCGACTGCGATAAAGGCTTCCGGTTCCACCGAATCCTGATGGGACCTGTCGACCGGCTCTGGTGAGGGATGCTGCAACAGCGGCTGCTGGGCGGGAGGCGTATGATTCGATTCAGGTGAGCGGATGAAATACCCCAATCCTTCGTCCCAAATGAGCCGCTCAGCCGGATAATCCTCGCTTGCAACTGAGCTCGGCCTTCGCAAACCATGAGAATCTTCTTCGCGCGTAAGTTGGTTAATAGCAAATCGGATGTATGGAACGTCATCCATGCCGGGTGTGGGAGGAGGTCCCGCATAGCTGTCACTAGGGACCTGGCGACTGGTGCTCTCGGTCATTGGACTCATGTAAACTTCTCTGTCTTGCACGGAGCGAACAGTATTCGCGGCAGGCGATGGCGCATTTTTGTTATCGTTTGGCATCCTCACTAGCCGCTCTAGGCGGGAGGTTGATCCAACCATGGGTGGGCCTAGATGCGTTCTCGAGATGGCGGGGGATGAAGTGTGAGACACAGGGTGGGACATCGGCGTGGCATACCTCACAACGGTAGCGTGACTGCCGTTGCTCGGAGACCTCGAACTGGAAGTGCGATCTGAAAAAGAATAGTAGTCGTCCGAAGCGGCAACCGACTGTTGATCCTCGGAACGCAGGACTTGCGGCCTATTTGCTACAAGGAATCAGCATCAGAACTTTCGGTCGGTCGGACTGGCCATGAGATGGGGAATGCGAATTCTAAATTGTACTTACAGCTGACGGTCCTCAGACTTACATTCCCGGACCCCGAAGCAAGCATGACGGCTCAATTGCAGCGAATGATAGGTGATGGGCATTCCCAAGGCGCAGGTATTGAACCTCTGAGTGAGATATCAAGTGTCGATAATTTCAGTCAAGACGCAAGGGCGAAATAGCCCGAGGTTGTCAAGCGACGGACATCGCTGCTGTCCATCGTGAGGTGGTTGGGTTGAGTCGGGCTGGTTGGTCGGGAAACCCCCAGCCACCTTCGGGGTCCCAGCCACCGGTCGCTTGAAGCTCGATCGATCTGGTTAGAATTTGTCTTCAACATGGCTTCATATTATTGGTGTTGAGAACCTGTCAGGAAGGGGTGAAAAGCAACATGGTTGGACAAGGCATCACACCTTGCATGAGTGTGTTGGCATGGAACAGAGGACGGGAAGTAGTTCAGGTACCATCACTAGCAGTACTAGTATGGAGTAGTAGGGGTTGGTTTGCGGCCCGAACCAGTGGACAATGCTCATAGGGCACAAGCACAACATGTGATTTCTTTGCCCCAGCGGGTGCCGATTACTCTCAGGAGATAGAGTGAGCGACTATATTCTTGGTTGGTCTTTGACCCGTCAATTGATTTAGCAACGTTCTTCTCTTCTGTTCTAGGATGCAGAAATGACTTTTCAAAACCATGCGCCCATAGGAAATGTGTAAACTAGCGTAAATGCAAGGACATAATGAGATGCAAGGATATGTCGAGTGTGCACGCAGCCGCTGTACGTACGTGACAATCTATCTATATAAGGACTGGTTCTCTTATCATTGACCAGAATGATAAAACCTGTATATATATGCCACTCCCCCTTTTATCTTCCTCCTCGTGGGCTTCCTCACGTTTTGTACAAGAAAGCTGCAATGACTCCGCCCCAACCACCAGCGTTGTCATCTTCCTTTGCGATCGTCGTCGAGCCTTCCAGAATCATATTTTCCGTGCTCTTGGTGTTCGTGCCATACAAGTACAGCGCAGATGATTCAATAATTTGGACTGCGTTCTTTTGACACTTGCCGTTGCAGCCGCCATTGTTGTTAAAGAATGCCCAGTTGCAGCCTCCATAGAGGAAGAGGTTTGATGCACCATTGATCCGCTCGAATAGCGCCATCCGGCAGGTCGCATCGTCCCCAGCGCACCATGAAAAGTCCGGATCACTTGCACTCAGGTAGTTCCCCCATGGAGCTGGTGCGAGTGTGCCTCCTACACCTTGCCAGTATGGGGTTTCGCTCTGCTGCATGGTGGCAAGAACATTGTGTGCGTGCTCGAAATTATATTGATAGAGAGTGTGGTGTTCAAAGCCGGTGCCGATAAGCCATGTGGCGGCAGTTGCTTCGACCAAAAGACCCCTGCCAGTGGATATGGTCTGCGAACTGGATCCATCGAGATCGTGATCTGCCGTCCACCCCCACATGTTCTCGATGTAAGCAGACGAAGTACTCGTCAGATGGAGTAGTCCGTAAGCGGCTTTACAGTTGTCAGGCGAGCTGGTACAATCACTGTGGACCCTACTGCCGACTCCACCTCCGATACGGAAATGTACATTCCAGAATCCTACGTCTCCTTGGCTCTTTCCGGCGATGTTAACCTCCACCTAAGGGAGGAGGACTTGTTAGTAAATGGCGCATAGATTTTGAAATAGTGGAGAACTCACTAATTGGCAGCCTGGCAAAATGTCTCCAACGGTAAGGAGCATGTCACTGATCTGCGCGACCCCAATATCTCCCGGG